CTTCATTACTTACTAAGTAATGGATGATTTTTCATTATTCTCTTGTTCTTTTCACAATTGCCTTTTTCGATATATAAAAAAATTAAGAAACTGAATGTATACTCTAAGGTGGCCTGCTGAGTTGACCCATCAAGGTAGTCTACCAAGTTGACCAAGTTCCAAGGGATGAATCCTAAGAGGCAAGTTCCAATGGATGAATTTTGAGGGCGGAGTTTCAAAGGATGAGTTCCAAGGGCTGAGTGGGTAGAGTTCAAGGGACAAGTTCCATGGACCAAATTTTAAGTGTGGTGTTCCAAGGAACGACTTCTGATGGTCGACTTCTACAGGACAAGTTCAAAGGGCCAAATTCTAAGTGCGAAGCTCTAAGGGACGATTTACGACGGCCGAGTTCGAAGTATCAAATCGGTCAAGTTTCAGTGGAAGAGTTATAAGGAAAGAGTTATGAGGGATGAAATCCAAGGACCAAGTTCTAAGTACAGAGTTTCATAAGCCGAGTTCTATGGTCGGGTTGATCAATAATAGCTTTACCAGAAAATTAGCGAGAGAAAACACATTTTAACGGAACTGTTATCCACATAAGAGGACGTGGATAATATAAAATATGACCTTCTTGACAGAAGAAACAAAAGTAACAAAACAAGAATTTCCCCCTCGCTATAAATAGGGGTGACCATTATAATGTAAGGGGATTATTCCCCATATACTAAAAAATGCCAATCTTTCTTCATTATCTATTTCTATTACTTCGCTTCAAACATTCCTTATTTTAACTCTTTTGTTAGTGGTGTTGTTTCATGGAGAAATCACGATCCCACGCAACATCTCAATATAGTTGTTGTCAAACATCTCAAAGCTCAGTCAAAAGGGAAAATAAAAATGGAAAAGTAAGATACTACTACATGTTATTTAAATTAAGGAAATTTGATTTTCAATTGTGCTCTGAAGCAGAAAAAATCCGTTGATTATCGTGAATGTGCGTCATTCATATCACCTTCTTTTTGTAGATTAAATTACATTGCATAAATTATTGGAACAAAATTTTGTTGCACTAGTTTTTTTTTTCCTAGTTTATAATATAGTGTTAAATTTTTTGTATTTCTATGATAAGCCTATATCAAATTGAGCAAGTGGATTGTTTAGCATGAAAATGATTCAACAACAAGGTATTGAACTAGTTTTACTGAACCCAAGCTTAAGCCTCAACAAATTCCCAAGCCTAATATATATAGTGTTGTGAGATATGTACTTCCTGGCATAGAAATGAGACGAAAAAGAACACAAGCAAACACAGATCGTTTACGTGGTTCGATCCAACTGGATCTACGTCCACGGAAGGGAATAAATCAAATAGTTCATTAAGGCAAAAGAAATGGAGAATACATAGTTTATACATAGAGATGAGCCCTCATCTTCCTTCTATGGCCTCCCTCTCAAGCGACACCTTGATACAAGGCTTCAAGATGCTCTCCTCCTCTCTAGC